TATATTTAATCAATATTGATGCTCATTGGGGAAACAGCATCGGTCTTAAAAAACATTAGAGCCTCCTGCTATCGTAGCACAGAGGTCCAGTTGACATGAAGAAAGAAAATGCTCTCAGTTATGGAAACGGCCAGTGGGTTTATGTTCTGTTTGATGCATGGTGTACGTGTGTGTTGGCTGGCTGTTAATAAAGTTGCGCTCTCTCGGGGGGCGTGTTCATTCATCAAAAATGGCTGAAGGCTGATGTGTGTTTATTCCTCCCTAATCATTGTCAGTGCAGTTTACTATTGATGTCAGACTTCTCTGCCCATTTTCACACTTCTGCTGACGGGCTATGGGCCCAGATAACTACGACGTTTCTAAAGGAGTTAAAGTGTTTTTGCCACCGAGAGAAGCGTCGCAATGTACAGTGTACCCGTTGAGTATCAGTATACCATGCTAGCGCCATGAGTCGACGAGCCGCTGAGTCAAACAGCCGTTGGTTTCGGCTAGTTTTTGATGGGGACGAAAAGAATTGTGAACTGTGGGAGACAAAATTTGTGGGCCACCTTCGTTTGCAAGGACTAAGAGACATTATTTTGAAGCAGCCTACCAACATGGAGGAAGAAGAAGACGCACCAAAAAATGCAGAGGTATACGCAGAGCTGATCCAGTTTCTGGATGATAAAAACCTCGTATAATTAGTCTGTATACAGAACTGACTTCGCTCCAAAAGTCCAGCAGTGAGAGTGACTCTATGTTATAGAGCAGAGACAGCTATCACTGCCCTGAAAAATGCTGGTGAAACACTGAGTGATGGGTTATTGGTTTTGAAGGGACTGCCAGAATAATTTAAACCACTTGCTGCTGAATGAAATTGGCGCACACTCTTTGATATGGCCAGGTGTATGCTAATGGAGAAAGAGTTACCAAAGGAGTTGTGGACCTATGCAGTGTAAACAGCAGCTGTAGTGAGGAAGAGATGTTTTAACAGATGCAAAAAACAGACATCATATTTAATGCTGACAGGAAGATGGACAAATCTGCAAAGATGCAGAAATCTGGGTCAGTGTGTTATGCCTACAGGCAGAACAAGAGAAAACTAGACTCACAGTGTGAGAAAGGAATCTTTGCTGGATATGACAAAAACAGTCCAGACTATATGGTCTGCTACCCAAACAGTGGACAAGTACAGAAGCATTGACTCATGAAGTTTGAGACCAAAACAAGAGCAGAGAGACAAACACAACCTGACATAATGCCAGATGATGACATTGACTTTGAGATACAAAACAGGTCCAGCAGGACCAGAGAAATGACTGATGTGAGTACAGAACACACAGATACTCAGGATCAGCTGAAAAAGTCACTATATGGGCTAAAACAGTCAGATAGAAATTGGGACAATGTGTTACATGAATATCTGAGGGAGAACAACTTTGTGCAGAATCCATTGACCACTGTGTTTACATAAAGATGACAGAAAATAAGGTGATTTTGATCAAATGGGTAGATGACTTTATCATTCCTGCCAGTGACGGAAGTGAACTGTTTTGAAGAAAATCCTTGCAGCAAAATTCAAAATGAAGGATTTGAGTAAACTTGGACATTTCATTGGTATATATTTTGACCATGATGCTTACACAGCATGATAACTGTGTAAAAATGTAACAAAACAAAATGTAGAAAAAATACTTCAAAGGTTCAACATGCAGGATTGCCAAGCTAGACTGACACCTTGTGAACAAAAACTGAACTACACTGATGGTGCAGAAAAGATGAATGATGTCAAAAGGTACAGAGTGGCAGTGGGTAGTGTGATCTACCATGCACAAGACCAGACTTGAGTTTTATACTCAGTAAACTGTCGCAGTATTTTAGTGAGCCAACTGAAGACCAGTGGACTACAGTAAAACATGTACTGAGATATCTGAAAGGGACATCTGAGAAAGAACTGTGTTAAAGGAAATGTGACAATGAAGAACTGAGGTCATGGGCAATCAGGGATGCTGATTGGACAGGTAATGTAACAGACAGACTTAGTACAACTGGTTATTGTATAAGTATGGCTGTAAATGGTTCTTTGATTTCGTGGAAAACCAAAAAGCAACCTACTGTTGCATTATCTACCTGTGAAGATGAGTTCAAGGCTCTATCTACAGCCTCACAGGAGTGCCTGTACTTAACTCAACTGTTAAGTATGAGGTATTGATGAACAGAAATATGCGCCGTGAAAAGTTTACGAAGATGACCAGGATGCAATTGCGTTTGCTAAGAATCCTGTAACAGATGTAAACATGTTGACATAAAGTATCACTTTATAAAGTCAACCGTGAATTAAGGAAAAATAACTTCAGATTATTGTAAAACAGATGAGATGGTAGCAGATGTAATGACAAAACCTATAAGAAAAGCCAAGTTGTGAAGGTTTGAAAAATGTATGTTTGGACATTGTATACGAACATGTATGTTCATTCATCCAAAATGGCCGAAAGGTGATGTGTGTTCATTCCTCCCCAATCCTCGTCTGTGCAGTTTACTATTGATGTTGGACTTCTCTGTGTATTTTCATACTTCTGCTAACAGGTCCAAGGGATCTTCTGCGAAATGGGGGCGCTATTTTGAAGATCACTTAAGTTCATTGAATGGCGATTTGGTATCTTTTCATCTTTAAACCCAACCTCAGTATAAGCCACAGTGATCCTTTATAGCAGTGGTGGAGCGGGGGGGTGGCTTACTGGGCTTAAGCCCGGGTTGTTTTTTCAGAAGCCCGGGGTCTTTTGTATGTAATTTTTTCATAGTTAGATGCCTGGTTGACAACTGTATAAAACAAAAAACGACACACAATATTCGAAGCACATAGTGCACACTGTGGGAATTTATGACTGTGTGTAAATCCCCCTAATATTGGTATGATCCCTCAGGCACTAAGCAGGGCAGCTGCTGCCTACAAGTGCGCTGTTGGAGAAATGGAGCTAGGCAGACAGAGGAGAACTGAAGTTTGACTAGATACCAAAGCAAATCATTCGTAGTCGAAGGAGCTTGCAAAGAAAAGCGTCTGGACTTCTTTAAGTTGCTTGAAGACGTTTCACCTCTCTGGCTGATTGGGTCCCACACCTTGGCTCAGGCGATTAGAGGATCATCAGGGGGTCCTTTTGTCCCTCTGTGGGGGGTCACTCCCACTAGGTTTATATCTGGGACTCTCCACCATTTGACCTTAGAACTGAAGAAGCTTCTCGGATGAGAGGTGAAACGTCTTCAAGCAACTTAAAGAAGTCCAGACGCTTTTCTTTGCAAGCTCCTTTGACTACGATGACCTGGATGACTGAGAACCTTCACAGACAAATCATTCGTACTGTACAAATAATGTAAACATGACGGTGTATCACGAAAGATTGATATCAAACTGATCACTTGACCCATATTACGTTACCGTACTTGCTCTTCAAGTGAATCAACAAATGGTGAAATGAAAAGCCGAACAACAACAATGCTGTTTCTTAAGAGAGTCTTAGCTTACATGTATGTTTATTTCATATTTTCAGTTGTTACCCTCCACGGCTAAATAAATCGGTTTCAGTAATGCACTGATATACAAGAATGGACATAAGTGGCTTCTTTCAAAGAAAAAACTCTGGTAGATGTTATTTTATATATTATGCTTTTAATGTTGTTCAGTATATTTCTATGCAAAACAAGAGGAACTTCAATACACAGCAGTATATTCACAGTTGAAACCAGATATTTACATGCACTTTATGGAAAACACAAGAACATTTTTTTTACTGTACAACATCAATTTAGACTAAACTTGTTTTGTTTTGGATAAATAAATATTGAATTAAATTTGAATTAGTTAAATGTGAGAATAAAAAGAGGGAGCTGTCTATTTTAATCACTTTCATCAAATTCAGGAGTACATATACACTAAATTTATTGTTAATTAATAAGAAAACTCCAGACGATTCCATTCTGAGCTGAAGAAGCTTCTGATAGGTTCGTAGAGTCCATGTGAGTAAATTGGTGGCACAGCTGTGGATGCATATAGGGAAAAACACAGAGCCTGTTTCTGTGACATGGGAAAATCAAGAGATGTCAACCAAAACACCAGGAAAATAATTGTGGAGCTCCATAAGTGTGGCTCAATTTTGAATACAATTTGGTGCCATTTGCAATTAAGAAACACAGATAGGTTCTCTTCTTACTCTTAAAGTTAACAAATATGTTTTTTATATTTATCAATCTAAAAAAAACATTTAGTCTGATTTGATGTTAAAATTAAAAAAGTGTTTTTATCTGAAGAGTGTGTAAATATCTGGTTTCAAGTGTATATTTGATGATGTTGGTGTTTGGCTTTATTGTCAGCACAAAGAGGGAGAGAGGGGGACAGAGAGGGAGATGGAGAATGAGGACAGAACAGAGATGAACAAGAGCAGGTGAGACACACCTGTTAGTCAAATGGTTGTTTACCAAAAGTATCACCGTATCATAGGTCCTCATGTATCTCGTAGTGTTTCTTTTTAGGTTTGTTATTTTTCAAATTCTATATTTATTACGTTTTGCAGCTTGTTTGCACAACAAGTTCAAATAATTATATAAACTTTTCTCAATCTAAATAGTGGACTTTGGTAGAATTAAAAAGTGTAGTGCAGGTCTATGATGATTTTTAGTGCTACTATCATCTAGTTCTGATTCTGGTTCTGTCTTGGTTAAGTCCTCAGTAGTCCTGATTTTGAACTGTTGCAGTCCTGTTTTAATTGCGGATCAGTTCTGGGTCTGGTTGAATTGGGGTTTAGTCCTCGTGTCTTGATACAGCCCCGACTTTGTTCTGCTGTGCTGCTTAATTAAAAAACTAGTTTAAAGTGTCCTGCATATGTGATATATATTTTTCCCTATATGAAGTCATTCTTTTTTGAACAAAACTCAAAACAGAGCCTATTAATCTTTCAGTCATTTCAGACCAAAAACAAATGTCCATTACAGAGGACACATATGAAAACCCAGAGTTAACCCTCAATTACCTGGATAAGACGAAATCCTGCTGCGTAATACAGGTCCCAGTGTGATCTCAGATGGCAGCGCAACTGACGCCTGTAGTTGGGAATTTTCTCTTTTTTGGTCCACTTCTTCACCCGCATGAAACTGATTGAACTGCCACGATCAACTCCCTGTTTTACATTTTCTGCCACTTCACCGGACTAAATCACGGATTTACACACACACAAGTCCCAAACACCTTTCCCGAGAGTAGGAATACGTTGGCGGCAGTCGATTATGGCGGCCAACCAAACCGGTTTGACAGGTTTCGTACCTGTATGCATGCGTGTTCAGATATCTCCGGGGTTATCTGAGGTCATGGCGTGTCTCAACATTCAGTTATGCAGACATATGTGTTCTTAAAAGCAATTCTTTGTTTTTGCGTGGAGGAGTGGAAGCTGTTTTGTTTCACTGTGCACCTTAACAAAGCTGGAATGCTTTTTATTTACATGTAGTCAAAAGTGTTACTAATTGTGTTTTAATCACACTAATTTTGTGATTCTCACAATGTCTCAGCATGCAGTGATGCATGCATTTTATTTTAAAAACAGCACAAATGGGAATTTCTTCTGTACGGGTAATTTCAGCCTGTTCATTTAATCAAACCACTAGTTTTAATTTAACTAGTTTGTACGCATCTACTGGGGTTTCTTTCGCGGGGTGATACGATCATTATATTTAAAAATTGGGATTTCGGAATGTTGAACTAAGAGGGAGACAGAGCCAGCTAGGTTTTTATTTAACACAGTAGATGGTCGCAAATAACATTCAGGCCCTTTAGAAAAAAATACTGCAGTGATAGTTCTAAAACCAGGCGCACAGGCCCATAATAAGTCCAACTGGTGTTGGGGCACCAACACCAGTTGGACTTATTAAAGCAACAGCAGCAGCACACAGGCAGCATCAACAACAGGCTCAGAATGAGTTGGACAAGGAGATGCTTCAAGTGTTACAAGAATCTGACATAGATGTGCATGAGAAAGCTAAAAAATATGGTGATATTCTCCAAAGATACCTTACGCATGTAAGACAAGGTACCCGTGAAAAGAATGTATTGTCTTTATCACTACCCGAATAATTTAACAGGGATGCGCAAACCCAGCCGACGGACACTCTGCCTGTTTATGGTGATGCAGGGGTGAGGGATTTTGCTGCGGAGAATGTTTTGACACACATACCTAAAAGGAGTAGGAGGAATGCAGAACTTGCCGTGAGCAGTAAGCCGTTCGCCAGACTTCATTTCTTACAATGACAAAGGTGAAATTGTTGTTGATAAACACACCATCCCAGGTTCACATATTCATGATCTGATTAAAGCCATCACAACCACGCACACACCTCCTGAGGGTTTAAGATCTATAGGCTGGACAGAGTTTTTAAAGGCTGTTTCAGATTTAAACATACCGTTATCAGCCATATCCAACACTGGCATAAGTAAGACCATCGCCATGTATAAAACCAATCACACACTGCCTGAAGACCCTAGTTTTTTTAAAACACGCCAAAAAAGAACACCCCTGGCGGACCACTGTGACATAGTACATAAAAAAAAAAGAATAAAAAAAACAAATTAAAGGGGTGTCCTGTAGAGTGGTTAGATTTTTGAATTTAGACTTTTTTCTTATCACAGCTGAAATGGGTTTTTTTTTAAATTTCTTTATTATATTTATATTTATATCTACTTGGGAAAATAATGTACAGCCGGGATAATTAACAAATCCTATGTCAGCTTCCCTGCTGTTTTTAGGTGGGGTTTGACTATGCTGACTCCGTTTTTAAACAGTGGTACTGTCATGGTCCGGAGTCTATGACTCTATGTTTATGTTAAGTTTATTATTATTCTGTGGTTTTGGTTATCTTGGGTTTTTGTACTCTTCTGTTTCACGTTTCATGTGCCGATGTCGGTGTCCTCCAGTCTGTGTTTAGTTGGTGTGTGTTGTGTTTAGGGTGTGTTTCCTGTTTTACTTTGAAGGTCTCTGTCTGATGTCAGTGTGTTCTGTTTATGTTTCCCCTGCCTCGTCAGCTGTGATGTCTTCTAGGTGTGTTTCCCTCCTGTTCCCCATCCCCTGATTACTGCTGTGTGTTTTTATAGTGTGTGTTCCCTCGTCCTCATTGCTGGTTTGTCTGCTTCTGTCCGTCTGTCTTCGGTGTATTTTCCTGTGCCTCCCTGCATCTTCATTTCTGGTTAGTTTTGCCCAGTTTAGGTTTTCTTAGTTTCATGTTCACCCTCGCCATTTCTGTTTGTATCGACTTTTGTTTATTAAACTCACTTGCACCAGAGCTGCCGCTTCCTGGGTCCTAAATCATTCTCACACGGTACAGCAAATCTAAACATGCTGCGGAACAAGCACCCCCAGCCCTGCCCCATATTGCATCCTGGTCCCGATATACCTTTCGAGCTCTCCTCCAGCCTGCGATACGTAGTATTTTACATATTTTGCTTCATCTGGGTTGTAGACGGCCATCCTTTTTAAAAAAATGCTGGGTTATTGGTCGGAAGTGGAGCTTGACAAACACCTTGCTGTATAAAAAGGGTATGTGTTGATTTTGGTGTCTTTCAAATCAATTTCTATGTCTATGTGTAGTGTGGGCGGTCATCGTCTGTAATATTTATAGCCCTTAATAGCCACGTGTGGGCGACGCCCACAAGCTGGTAACCAACGATATCTGCATAATTAAAGATGTTATATTTTCCACCGTATATGGATGCGGGGCGTATGTGTTTTTGTAATGAAGTACAAACGAGTCTCTTGTTTTGAATCCTAGGATTTCTACCAGCCTCCCTCTAAATGTGAGAATGGTCCCCCAAGATGGGGGCAAGATGGCGGCGCGTGAATAATGCAAGGCTCAGTGTCTCTCCAGAATCTGCTATTTAGCGTTTTTTTTTTTTTTGTTTGTTTGTTTTTAATCTACTTTTATCTACTTTTAACCGGATTATTCATCCAGAATTGCTGTGCGTTGCTGACCTACAGCAGACAAGAGCTTCTGGACATCTGGACTCATAACTCCAACAGTTTTATCGCCGATCTCCGACTCATCCCAGAGATCTCCAGAACACCGGAGGCTGCCCACTCTCCCCGGCCGGGCGGAAGTGCAGACGACGCCGAGAACGTAAACAAAGGCGAGGTAGGCACGGAGGGCTACGGGCTAAGCTAAAGCTAACACCACACCGGTTGCCTTTACCCAGTATTTTCCTCGCCAATGTCCGTTCTCTGGCAAACAAAATGAATGAGATACGGCTCTCCATCACTAACAACAGACAAATTATGGACTCAAATGTCATGTTTTTCACCGAAACATGGTTGAACAACAGCTGCCCGGACAATGCTATTGAGTTAGCAGAATGCTACACACACCGAGCCGACAGGCTAGCAGATGACTCCGGCAAGACCAGAGGTGGAGGTTTGTGCATTTATATTAACAATACTCACTGCAGTGTATATCCCCCCTGACTCTAATGCTAGGTTGGCCATGAAAGAACTTTCTGCAGCCATTAAACAGCAGAATAAACACCCCGAGGCTGCTTTTATTGTTGCTGGCAACTTCAACCACACCAACTTAAAGACAGTCCTCCCCAGATTCCACCAACATGTCTCCTGCCACACCAGAGGAGACAAGACTTTAGACCATGTTTATTCCAACCTGGCTGGAGCCTACAAAGCAACACCCCTCCCCAACATTGGACAATCGGACCATCTCTCCCTGTTCCTCACACCTCGGTATTCTCTACTCATCCAACGTGTGAAACCTGCTGTGAGGACAATTAAAGTGTGGCCAGAGGGACAGACGCAGTGCTCCAGGACAGATTTAAAAACACAGACTGGAATACGTTCACCCACACAGACCTGGACCAGTACGCCTCATCTGTACTGGATTACATCTCCAAAACCACAGACAGTGTCACCACCCTGAAATGGGTCACCATGTACCCCAACCAGAAGCCTTGGATGAACCGGGATGTTCATCTCCTCCTGAAGGCCCGCAACACCGCCTTTATGTCAGGAGATGCACACGCCTACAGTACAGCCAGGGCTAATCTAAAGAAGGTAAATAAATGGTAAATGGCCAGTATTTGTATAGCGCTTTACTAGTCCCTAATGACCCCAAAGCGCTTTACACATCCAGCCATCCACCCATTCACACACTGGTGATGGTAAGCTACATTGTAGCCACAGCCACCCTGGGGCGCACTGACAGAGGCCGGACACTGGCGCCACTGGGCCCTCTGACCACCACCAGTAGGCAACGGGTGAAGTGTCTTGCCCAAGGACACAACGACCGAGACTGTCCAAGCCAGGGTTCGAACCGGCAACCTTCCGATTACAAGGCGAACTCCCAACTCTTGAGCCACGGTATCAAAAAAGCCAAACACCATTACAAAAAGAAGGTAGAAGAACACTTCTCCAACCCCCGACGCATGTGGCAAGGACTCCAGACCATTACAGACTACAGGACCACCAACCCCTCCCCCGCATCCTCTGATGTCTCCTTCCTCAACGAGCTCAACAACTTTTATGCTTGTTTTGAGCGAGGGAACCCCCAACCACAACCAAAGCAGACATGACGCCAGACCACCAACCTCTGACTCTCTCCCCCACCGATGTAGGAGTGGTGCTGAGCAGGATCAATGTCCACAAGGCTGCAGGTCCTGATGGCATCCCCGGGCATGTTATCAGAGTGTGTTCTGGGGAGCTTACAGGAGTGCTGACAGACATATTCAACCTGTCCTTGGCCCACGCTGTGATACCGGCCTGCTTCAAATCCACCTCCATCATCCCAATACCCAAAAACTCCAACCCATCTAGCCTAAATGACTACGCCCAGTAGCACTGACCCCCATCATCACAAAGTACTTAGAGCAGCTGGTCCTAACACACTTCAAATCCTGTCTCCCCCCACCTTGAAACCCCACCAATTCGCATACCGCCAGAACAGGAGCACAGAGGATGCAGTCTCCATCGCACTGCACTCTGTCCTCTCACACCTGGACAACAACAACACCTACGCCAGAATGCTGTTTATAGACTTCAGTTCAGCATTCAATACAATCCACCCCTCACAACTCATCAGGAAACTGACAGATCTGGGCATCAGTTCCCTCATGTGCAAATGGTTACTGGACTTCCTGACCAACCGCACCCAACATGTCCCCTGGATAACCACTGCTCATCTACAATCACAAGGCTGTGTGATGAGCCCTTTCCTCTACTCCCTCTTGACCCATGAC